CCGGGGGTAAATGTCCGGGGGGTAAATGTCCAGGGGTGATTGTCCGGGGGGTAAATGTCCGGGGGGTAATTGTCCGGGGGGTAATTGTCCGGGGGTGAATGGCATGGGGGTAAATGGCATGGGGGTAATTGTCCGGGGGTAATTGTCCGGGGGTGATTGTCCGGGGGTATTTGGTCCTGATACGTCAGATAGATAGATAGATAGATAGATAGATAGATAGATAGATAGATAGATAGATAGATAGATAGATAGATAGATAGATAGATAGATCGATAGATCGATAGATCCCTGTCTGTCTGTCTGTCTGTCTATCCATCCATTCATCCATCCATCCATCCATCCATCCATCCATCCATCCATCTATCCATCCATCCATCTCTCCATGCATGCATGCATGCATGCATTTATCCATCTATCCATCCATCCATCCATTCATCTATCTATCTATCTATCTATCTATCTATCGATTTATCTATCACAGACAGATAGATAGATAGATAGATAGATAGATAGATAGATAGATAGATAGATAGATAGATAGATAGATAGATAGATAGATAGATAGATAGATAGATAGATAGATAGATAGATGAAATGTTACAATTGTCATGTTCACAAGATGTTCGATACACTGCGATGGGCGGAATTCCTAACGGAACCGACCCCTTTGTCAGCTGTCATCCCATTCTTGCCGCGACACGCCTACTGGACACGGCTAGGAGACAGGTAGACATTCCTCAGCCGTTCCCAAGATACACAACCGTTCGATAACTTCCGATAATTCAACGCTATACTTTGCAACACGAGTTGGCTCGCAGAGCTTGGCGCTTCCGTGCGTCCGTGCGTGCGTGCGTGCGTGCGTGCGTGCGTGCGTGCGTGCGTGCGTACGTGGGGATATGCGTGTTGATGCTGAGATGTAAGTGCCTGTTTTGCGGTTAGATAATCTATTCTTGCAGTGGATGCAACGGCACGAATTAAGTCAACTACGTATATCTCTGTATCCGGTTTGCTCTCCCCTCTCTCTCACTCTCGCTCTCGCTCTCACTCTCGCACTCTTTCCATCAAGCCCTCTTTCACTTCCTCGCTCGCGCTGTCTCTCTCTCTCTCTCTCTCTCTCTTTCTCTCTCTCTCTCTCTCTTTTGTGCTCTCTCTCTCCCTCTCTGTTTTGCTGTCTATCCTCGCGCGCGCACACTATATCTCTGTCCGCCTGTCTCAGTGTTCCCTATAGGCCGTGTTCCGTCTGTAATGGACGTAATAACTACTGTACCCCAGGCTCTCAGTCTCAAAGCGTTTACCTCATGTATACCGTGCGTACGAGTGTCACACGTACGGGCCTTACGTCGCCCAGTACTTCCTACTACTGTGTGCTCTAGGGAAATCGGTTACGAAATGACACCATCAGATTATGTAATGCGCGCGTAAATGGCATGCAGGAAATTGTTACTGTGTAATCAGGAATAAGAATTCCTCATTACTTTACTAGTGATGTACTGTTAATGTAGGACTATTTTGCATACAATACGCTACAACGGCGTCTATACGCGGTTGCTCACGCGGCCTGACATACTGCCCATCACGGCTATTATTCTATGGTTAGCAGTAAAGTTTAGTGAATGTAATCTTAATCTTTATCCTAACTGTAATCTCAACACATAACCTATAACTATGACTGTCTACATGATGGGGAATGCATTGGCTATCCTGTACCATCACACCTGCCACGTTAGATTATGCACACGAAATTTATAGGAATGATCTATTGCACGCGGATACAATTATATCATCCCCTTCATATATCGTTCGGCTTCTAATATATATTTTATCATCGCGCTAAACGAGCGTTTAACACGCACGGGCTCGCCTTGAAGTTGCAGGGCCTCTGGGTGTGTCATATACCACAGATGCGTGTGCTTGGAGAGGACAGGTGAGGTCAGACCTCGCATTTTTTCCAATGTCCAATGGAGGCAATTAGGTCGGTTCGATGCCGCGAGAGGTGATGACCCACGCACATAGTAAGGGCCTATGCGCACAAGATAGCCCTCAGCAGAATTCACAACAGATACATGAAAGGTAGCTATAGTCTGCATGAATAAACTTTTTTAATAGGGCCTTCTCTATCGTTAGTCGATGTGAGACAATACTATATATTTAAGTTATTATAGATAATACTATAGATACATATCATATTATCAGGAGGAAATAAAACAAAATTTTTAGTTTCTTTTCGTTTCTGGTACTACAAATACTATATATTTCACATAAATCTACTACTGAAGGCCAGCACTTGACTGTGAACACTTAATCGCGTTATAAACTATGCTAATGTTGTGGTAGTCATTTATTGCGGCGTAAAATCATCAGGTGTTAATTATCATAAAATCGGGCAAAGTTCACCTTTGTTCACTTGCAATTCAAATGTGCGTGTTAGTATAAAATTCAAGGGTAGCTAAATTGACATAAGATGCAAGACATTATTGTAGCTTCAAGCGTTTTGGAACCCGTACACATACATGTATTATTATTATTATTGTTATTATTATTATTATTACTATTATTATTATTATTATTATTATTATTATTATTATATTGTAGGCCTATATATATATATATATAAGGTGATGCCCTATATTAGCAATAAGATGCGTACTAGCTGCTAATGACAGTTAAATATACCACGTTGAGGCGATTGTATACAAGGCCGCGTACACGTGAGTAGAACTCGACGGCAGCTGTAGCCGTATAACACGTGTGATTGAGTTTAGTGGGAGCGCCCACAGCCTAGCCTACCCACCACACTAAAGCTTTGCGCACAAAAACCTGTTACTACGTAGCGATCGCGTGACACAATGTCCCCCCTCGCGGATTACATCTTCGCATACAAGAGACTAACCGGGTGCGCGAAAGAGAAACTTCGACTTTGGCTGAGATCCAGGGACGATGACGTCATCGCGCAGGCGCACCTGCCTGCTGTGAGGGGAAGGAGGTGGCACGCACGGGAATATCAAGTACGAAGAAAAGACGTGTCTGCCTGCGGTCCATCTCAAGCACCGTGCACGCTATATATAGTGTGCAGTGTACACACAAGCGCACGCACACGCACAGATAATATACGCCCTCATACCCGCACGAACGCACACGCACACACGTACACACCTAACACGCACAAATACGCGCACGCACGCATTCACTCATGCATACAAAACAAAACATCGTGCCAACTATGAACGTAAAGCCATAATATCAACTATGAAACGAGACATCATACTAACTGCAAATACGAAGTATCGTACTGTGTGACACACATGACAGCATTCCAACCACACATGAGACAACACAGAGCAGAGCAACACACCGAAGACAGCATATCAATCAAACAGTAATATAAACGACCGTATCATGTACGAACACACTATATTACGCAGAATGAACGAGAGAATGTCTAAAAATGAACGCAAAATATAAAATAAATAATCACAAATAAATATAGTAAATGAAATAAATAAATAGATACAATAAAAATATATAATAAGTAAAGTAATCAAATAAATGAATAATTAAATAAAGTAATCAAGTAATGAAATTGATAACAAAAAATAAACGTACAATGTGCGTAAAACAGTACCAACACAGCAGGTCATGCACAAACTGAAACCACAAAGACAAGGCAACATTTGCGCAGAAACATAAAATAAAGGCACGAAACGAAACAAACTTACAAGCTACTAATGATGACTCGCTGCTTCGCTAACAGTCAGCCTCGCAACTTTGTTTTTTTGGTATTGCATTTTGAAATCAACTTTCCTTGTGGTTATACCTGATTCCTTGAACACCACACATCGGCTAACGCTTCATTAGGAGTGTTCCCAACTTTGATATCATTAATGATTAATGATTAATGATTAATGATTGATAATCCTAACCCTAGCCCTAACCCTAACCTAACCTAACCTATAACATAACCCTAACCATTAATCATAATCCTACTCCTAATGGAGTATTACCCCACACATCTCTCCCCCGATCTGCCTCATAAGATATTCACTCTGCTGCTAAGCGTGCGTTTAATCGGCCACGGTATTGACACGTTGACCTACATACATACATCTACCTGCATATCTTCATACGTCTTAGTAATACAATTAATATATGCGTGCGCTAGGCGCGTGGCAACGAAAGCCGTAGGGGATAACTAGCCATGCAATTACTACTTACCTCTGCAGCCTTTGGCCCCACCACGGCTAAGTGCATAAGAAGAGCTGGTGTAGCGGCACCCAAAACATTATCCACGGTGTAACGCACCGCGTGCATATAGGGATGAATATACGCTATAGGAAACTTATTTACTTGTGGGTAATCAATACTACGAATCGAATTGAAAACACGGCAACACGGGAACTGCATTTCCCAAAAAACGCGACTCGATAAAAAAAATATAGCCTTTTGGTATTCGCGTTTCACAACGATCGTTCGACTCTTCCAAACAGAACCGGGACGGGGAAGTATAATTATACTGCATCATTTGCAGTAGCTCTGTACCGTAGCACTGGCGGAAAGGTTGTGACCTGTGGCTGAGCGAAGGACTATATGTAGTTGAGAACTACATTTGCAACATTACGATTATTGCGTGATTAGTGGGCACGTGATGCCTGTTCATGGAAAAATGAGGAGGCAACAGAGAAGAGACATACGGAGAAGTTGCGTGACTGATTACGGTCAATAGGTGAGCGTGAAGCTAACCCAGCATAATTACTCACGCTATAATGACGTGACCATAGCGGGTTCGCAGTCGTATGTCGTTACCTGCTCCTGCTCCCCTCATTCCCTCCCATTATTTCTCACTTTGATTCTCGCCACTCCCTCGCTTCTCTCCCCTTTTCTTTCTCTGCGCGCGTTCTTTCGATATCCATCCATCCATCAATCAATCCATCCATCCATCCATCCATCCATCCATCCATCCATCCATCCATCCATCCATCCATCCATCCATCCATCCATCCATCCATCCATCCATCCATCCATCCATCCATCCATCCATCCATCCATTCATCCATCGCGCTCTCTCGCCCCAATATCTATCACTCCCTTCCCTGTCTATTTCTCCACCCCCACACCGATCGCACCTCCCTACCGCTTTTATCACTGATGCGCCGGTCTGACATAACTATAGTAAATAACCATATTTAGGAATATAGGAATTTACGACTCTGTACGCGACATTGGATCGACTTCCCGTGCGACAAATCCGCAAATCAGCTAGCGTGTGAAATAAGCGCTGTCATTGTGCACACATACACACACACGTACGTAATTCCCTGCACGAGATTATACAGCGAACATCACACATAGGAAGTGTCACGAAACACGAATAGCCGACAATGAGGGCACGCATTGCGCGTGATCATGACAAATAGCAATGTGAATAGCTGCGTGTTAATACGGTATTCGTCGATGCGTATAAACACGGTGCATTCGTACATAATGAGATATAATGTGAACTCACATACTATTATATAATACCAGGAGGAGATAATAGGAAATTTACCCGTGATAATATATATTAGATAGAGGATATGACTAAACACTGCGTATGGCGTCAACAGTGTCTTGAACCTGCGCTGTACCCCAACGCAAGGGACAAGTTTGACAAGAGAATTCAATTGAATGTAGCTGTTTGCAAGTATGTGGTATCACGAAAAAATGGATGTAACTAACGAAGGCATATAAACGAAAGAATTTTATAACCGATTTTTATACGTCATAAGTGATTTCATTTGTTTTACCTAAAACTCAACATCTAAACAAATATACGTTGGCAACTCGGGTGTACGTTCGGTGCACGACGCATGCGAGTACATTCCTCGCGCACTGAGAGTGCAAACAAAAATATTCACGTAGACATCCTACGTTATTACATTCAGATCAACGTGGCCGTGAGCAGCGCGGCAACTGACGCTGTCAATCAAACCCTCTTCAATGTCGGCGCGTGCATTGACGTAGAAGCAGATGAGAGCGATAGGAGACGATGATAGGAAATGACAGGTCGCTTGAATACGGAGCATGCGGCGACGACACGCGGTGACAGACGTGTGCGAAAGCCCTGAAGTCTCATTAGAAATCCCGAAATCTAAAAAGAGGTTTCGGACCAATCAAATAACGCTTAGTAGTTATGCTTGAAGTTCGAATTTTCGAATGAGCCTTCAGACCTTTCCTACAGACGGCTAGAATTAAGTACTCACCTCGAACGGCTGCGTCTGCTGCTGTTGCTGCTGCGCGCCAGGTTTGCTTTGTGTCCGCTTGCTCTCTAGCGCATGATTCTTCGCTACGACGTATACGGTGTGAGCACCTGTGAACACGCCAACCACGTACTAATTAATGGCTCCTTATAAAACCACGCCAACCCTCATTGCTGCCTAACAAAAATATTAATAATACACCATTATCTCGCTAAATTCCCTGCGCACAAAAACATCGCACTCACTAAACCGCCCCCTCCCTAATCCTACTTCTCTAAATAAGAAAGCGTTTTGAAATAAAAGACAACCCCATTGAAAATCCTCTTTCGAAAATAATTCTACGGAATGACACGCGGACAAAGCGACGAGTCCGTGGGGAAAGCATCCAGAGAGTAAAAGGAAATGAATGGTCCAGGTGATTCTGCCTAATGACTCCGTCCTTTCACCATTTTTGTGACTAATAGCTTGATCCTTGCAATACGTCGCTAAAACATGTGCCAAGAATCAATCGGGTAGCACTAGCACAGTTATTTCTCTAAAAAAATATCCTGTGAAAGCAAATCCGCTATGTATTCACCGCCCCACCCGCTCCTATATTTCTGGTACTGGCACCGAGCTAGCCATTCATTCAATCCTATTCCCATAAACTCGTCATCAGCAGCAGCAGCAGCAGGCTAGCATGTCTCACCTAGACTGCCGACAGCGGTGTTAGGCTTGTAGAGAATCGACTCTCCGCTCTTGTCCGGGTCCGGTACGTGAAGCAGGATGTTGGCCGGAACAAGTCTGTTGTTTATGGCCACTCGCACAAGGACGTCCATCATCGGCATGCTGCAAGGACCAATCAACCAATCAATCAATCAATCAATCAATCAATCAATCAATTAATCATAACTCATTTAAAATAATTCTAACTAATCACCAACCTAGACTTTATCTGGTATAGAGCCTATATATGTATATATATATATATATATATATATATATATATATGTATATATGTATGTCTATATAATATATATGTGTAGTATATCTATACTATAAAAGGGAACAGCCCATTATTTGTTAGCTATGTTCTCTGAATCTGCTCGCATGATTTGAAATTGCTTGACTATAAACGATGCATTACCACTCATATAGAGTAATATTGGCGCACTTTTGCAATGATGAAAATAGGATAAAGTTGAATTTGAAGCCGTTTGATTTAAAACTGGCTAAAAATAGCATACCGGTGTATCGAAGCGACTACCATTAACCAATGTAGTCCAATGTAACCAATGTAACCAATGTAATTAAACGCGTCATGACCAGCTTGCGCTGTGGCGCAGTAGTAGCACGCTTGCCTCATACGTTAGGTGTCGGTTGTTCGAAACTCGACAGCCGCGGAAATATAAAAAACGTATGTTTCTCGCCAGGCGCGCAACTTCTTTCTTTCATCCTAAATATATGCATATTTAAAATATATATAATTTAAAATGTATACTATAAAAGGGAAACAGCGAATTTTTATTAGCTAAGTTATTTTTAAGTTGAGGAATTCCCTTCATGGGACTCCCCTGGGATATCCCAAAATCCATAATGAGGCTCTTCACGACAATGTGCTCACAACATCTTCACGTTCGGTTGAGTTTGACGCCAAAAACTTTGTAGCTGAGTTAATACAAGTTAATATACCTTTATCTCCTGCACTTAAGGTAGGTTTTCCGAAATATCAATATGCCTGTTTCTTGAATAACAATTATAGTTCGTAGGCCTACACAAACACAGTGACCATGTTTGCCCAGTCAATAAATGGCATTATTCCTGCCGATTGTCACCAATTCCTGCATGAATTATGTATTGTTGGCAAAACATGTTAAACCCCCACACAGCCCCACAGACAGTGATTATCAACTGCTGACCAAAAAGCTCCTGAAATTATTAACTGCTGACCAAACAAACTGCTGATATTGGGGATTTCAATTATAATATCAATTCTTACAAACTGCTGATATAACTCGATACTAGGCATAAAATAAAATAAATGTCTGTTTACGGTTCCAAATTAATTTTTTTAAAGGGTAGGTTGGTAGGTAAAAAAAACATTTTTTTACTTGAAAATTTCTTTTAAAGTCAAAAACACCAAACCTATCATTCAATGTGTTCATTTTCTACAACTTTAAACCCCGATACATATTTTGATG